CTAATTACCTGTGAGTGTGTTAACTCGTTATAAAAGTCTAAGTCACACTTCAGCAGTTTTACTGAGATTATAGCTCTATAAAGACATCATTTAAATATAATTATTTAGGGTTTTGGGGGTTTTTTGGTCTTTTTTAGGTGACTGATTTGAGTTTTAAACATATTTGTGGAAAGATGATAAATAAGTATGTATTTAAATGGGGAAAAAGTCTAATTTTGTGTATCTAAAATCTGCATTTTTCAACTTACATTTTAGCGTTTAAGACATTTTTATTCCATTTTATTTTGATTAATCAAATGTACTGAGCTTTTACTTTACACAAGTACTATATTATATTATTTTTATTTAGATCTTCACTTACTTTGCTTTTTAAATTTTACTTATTAGATTTTTTTCCATTTTTGTAAATTTTACCCAACTGATCTATTTGGCTTTGTCACTGTACTTTTTCTAGTCTGTTTAAGCTGTTTTGTCATAAGCTGCTGTAATTCTTTGCCAACTTTTAGAATAAACACATCCTGTCTGATCTTACTATACTTAGAAAATACAACAGGGAAAATCAGCAGGTCCTCAGCTGAAAAGATAGAAAAGAATAATTTTTCCAAAATAAATGAGCTAAATTACAGATTAATATCGAAATAGCTCACTGACCAAACTTTTCAGCTGCAAACAATTAGGAGCAAATGAAACAAAATCCTCAATGGAACCACCTCAACACAAAGATCTCAATGTTATACAATGTTATCCTGCACACACCTTGTCAAAGCACTGCTGCTCACCATGAAAACAAACAACCTGACTTTAACAGTCAGAAAGCACCTGAAAGCACCATCAGGAAGTCCCTGTTAGTAAACTGAATTAGTTTGTGTTGTGGTTCAACAAATGCATCTTGGGGGAATTTTAGGCTAAGACTTCAGAGAAAGAACCTGAATGCGTCTAACACCGCCTCCTACTGGTCAGTGTCAGGAACAAACGTCTCCAATCACACAGAACAAATCTTTTAAATTCACCGCAGCCTGCTTTAAACAGCAGAACAAAACCATTACCTAACTGTTACATTATTAAACCTTAATTTTCATTCACATGTTTTTCTTTTTGGATTTTTTTGAAACAACCCACTGCTTTTCCACGCCAAGGCTCTGACAGGTGTGAAAGCATTTTAGAACATTTAAGGAAAACATCTGCCGCACCAGCTGAAGCTGAATGCAACCACAAGCACGTCCGACCTCGCCGACCTGTCCTCGCCAAGCGGCTGCGCATCATAACTCAGAAATCTGCAGCTGCCCGACATGAAGAAGACGAGTGAGGGAGCAACACGGCTTTCTAAAGGTTTATACAGATTTAAGTTTCCAATAAATCAAGACAGCCATGGTTCACTGTGGAAGATTACAGTCTAGTGATTAGAAGTGGGAAAGGAGATATTTCCAGACATATTTCCATTATTGTCACCACACCAATGAGCCAGGTCCTGTAAAAGCAGGTTTCCTGATATAACATGTTTTAAGTGTTTGAAGAAAGGTTTTGGTTTCATTTCACTTCATTTCTTGTACCTCTTGGGCAAAACAGTGGTTAACTTTGTCCCCTCACAGCATGAAAGTCCTGGGTTTGAATCCTCGGGACAGCTGGGGCTTTCTGTGTGGAGTTCTGCAGGTTTTCTCTCTGCTTCCCCTCACAGTCTGAAGACATGCATTGGGGTTATGATTACTGGTGATTCGAAATGGCTGTGTGTTTCTGTGTGTTAGTCCTTCGACAGACTGGAAGAAAGAGGATGCATGGATGGACTTCATTCCTTTATAATTGGACAAATCACTTACAAGTATCCTTGATTGCAAATAATAATCAATAATCAAACCATATGAGTCCATATGAGGCTCTGTGACCTCATAAAAAGCTCTGCATGCTGCATCTGATCGTGCAGGCTATATGATAAAATGTGGCTGTTGCTGTTTCGCTTATCACAAATCTCCAAGATGTTTATTTGAAAGCTTTTTATTAAAGTTTTTGTCTAAAAAAGATAGAAATTTCCAATTATTTAAATGTTTAAATATCCACACTTTCCATATTGTTTTAAAGATTTTAGTACCAATTTATTCCCAGATCCTCGGTGGCCTGTCCAGTGCTTTTCTGCCAGGCTGCAACAGAAACACGAGGCTTTATTTATTATCATTAATCAGAATCAGAGAGACTTTATTTATCCCCAAGGGGCAATTAAGATACAACAGAGCAGCAAAAACTATACTGCAAACACAGCCTGAAAAACATCCTAAAGTCTGTTGAACACAAAGCCTGACCCGGATGGTAGATCGGTTTGAAAGATAGCGTCGAGCAAGACGTGACTATTCCCCGTTTCATCTGCACAGAGCACAGAGCAGCAGAAAGAGTGAAAGTCACAGAATAACAAGCACTGGTACTAATATCTGCCCTACAAAATAACCCACATGGGCTGAATCCCAGAAATCTGACAGAGCCTGGAGGGCCGGCCAACTCTGAGTCTGCTGCGATTTAACTGAAGCTCTTTTCCCATCTGCTGGAAATCAACACCAGAGGATGTTGTTGTGCTGCTGCTGCGGGCCTGGCTGATGTTTTACGGCTCCCCGAGGACGGTGACGCTAACAGCCTGCATTACGTTCTTATTTTCTCACACAGAAACACTCGTGCTTTTACTGAGAGACTGCACCCCCTGACCTACAGAAGAAGTTTCACAGAAGTATGTGAGGAGGGCAGATCCAAACGTCACTAACCAAAGACAGATTCCCATCACGATGAGGGTAAAATCAAAATTAGGGCAGTGACATCAGCGGCTTATTTTAGTCCTGCTGACACTGAGCAGTGCAGAAAGTTCTTTATTCCTCCTGTCAGGAGGCCATTTAGCAAGGCATTAAAGCTGGGTGGTTATCCTGGGTTGCTGCCAGGCTCTCAATGTTTCCTGCAGTGCTTCACGAACAATAAACCTGAAACAAATAAAAGCCAAAGGGAGAGCCAGACATAGACTGGATATCGAGTTATGTAACAAGAGGAAAATAACAAGCCCATAAATCACGATAAACTGATTAATACAAGAAAAAAATAAAGATTCATGTTCAAAACCCTCCTCCTAATGAAATCAGCTAAATCTGTAAAATTCAACTTCAGTGACACAAACACCAGCGTTCACAGCTGTTGATTCATGGTCTGCAGAACTGCACAGAGCACAGGTTTTCTTCTACCTCAGATAAAGGCTCAGAGCTGAGGACAGACAGAAGCCTAAAGAACACATTCAACCAATCTTGGCACAGTTTAATCGCACCTGTGAGCTGCCTTCTATTATAAATAACAATAAAACCAGTAAAATCTTTTCTTATTTCTGTAATCTGAAGGCCCGAGTGAGTGTGAGTCATACAGAGAAAAGGTCTGGCTTCCTGTACTTCCTGTCGTCTGAGGTTGACAGCTTCTAAGCAGCACAGACAGCTGAGGTCAGGCGTCTGTGCTGCTTCATGTCTCTGTGAAGCCAGCACACTGTAATGACAGCTAATGGGAGCAGATTATAGAAAGCGAGGCCTTTATTCTTTCATTTCACATGTAGCGATTGGTTCTTGGTGCAGACATGTCGTGCTGTGAAGTCAGATTAACTCAAGAGCCGACCTGAGCGCTCCCACTGTTGCAGCAATATTATGTGGCTGTTGGACATATTTCATTTTAAACATGCAGGATGCGTATCTGTACCACATCTTTAAGATATTTGGAGCATATTTTAAGTAAGACCTTTTTAAAATCACTCACAGGCTTAAACGGGTTGATATTAATCTTGGTCAGTGTGCTAGTGATCCCTGTGAGTCCAAAGCTTGAAGCCTAAACAGTTTTTTCTACTCTTGACTCTGTGTGATGTCACTAAGAGTCAAAGATCCCCTAATATGGTTATCCCAGGCACAGAAGCCCCACCCAGCCAATCAGAAGACAGGGACCTTAAAAGAGACAGGAGATTGCCTGTACAAAGGCCGAGTATAAGATAAACAGGGATTATTTTAAACTGCGAATCATGCAAAGCTCATGTGGAAAGGTCAGAGCAAAAACATGGAGTTGTAAAGAACCATAACAGGTCCCTTTAACAACAGCATCACAAACTACACTTAAAAACTTAAACGTAAGACGCCAAATCCTTCACACGGCCAGCAGAGGAGTGCAGCCCACACTTGGGAAAACTTAATTTAAACAAGAGCAGAATTACAGATAGAAAATTATTAAAAATGGAAAGAGCATCTGACTGGTAAAAAGCAAAACAAATAAACAAACAAAAAGCTCTCACACTTTAAAACCTCTCCACTCCAGGTCATATCTGTTAATCAGAAGAATGTCAAGCGTGCCACTGTGATGTGTCACATGCATCACTTCAAAACAACTCAAGTTTCTACTGAATTATTTGCATAGTTTAAACAGCCGAACAGTGAGCTGTTTGGCTGTTTTTTACTCTCTACTTCCAAGTGAGCAGATACCAATCCTGGTTGTTTTTACATTCACCAACAGAGTTTAAAGAAATTGCAGCGAGCACACCCAGATCATTGGCACAGATCATTAATTCAGGTTTATGACTCATAAATATGACTATCACTCATAATGCATCACTAATATAAAAAGGGTGTTCAAAACAAGTCGTGGTATTAAACTGCATTAGCATTAACGGCAAAGTGTAGCAAAGGTTAAACAGTAAAATAAACACAGGTAACTAATGCTGAGTCAGTGCTATTTATACCGGGGGGCTAAACTGGGGAGCACTCAACCAGAGTTTAATTTAAACTGGGACTTATTTTGAAAAAAAAAAATTCCAGTGCTTTCCCTGGAACTATAAACCAGTATCCGTCTAAACGTGTCTTCCGCTTCACTACAACTTCCATCGCTGTTAGAGGGTGGCATTATTTTACCTGCAAGGAGCCAATGTGGCCAGTCCTTCAGTTCAAGCCCAACACTGAACTACAAACTCAGCCTCTTTACACTTAAGAGTGAAGGCAAACATTAAGAGCTCCAACCTGTCTTTCTTTTCTTCCGACTGTCCTGTAATAATCCTCGCCATCCCAGGTCCCGGCCAGCAGTCCACAGATCCACCGGCTCCAGCACCACATCACGGCTTTGCTGACAACCAGTCCCAAAAAACATGAGGATCCTGGAGGAGCAGAACCTCAGTGAAGGCGACTCCAGGGCTCCCACTCCCCTCTTCACAGATTGGCCGAACCCCAACCGCCAACGCTCAGCTCATGCATGTTTACTTTAACAGCTGTGTCAACAACACGAGGAACAACACTAGAAAAAAATTAACCTATGCCAGGAAAAAAGGAAAAGGCTTTCTAGAAGAGGCTCACATCTGTCCGTGTATGTCAAAGGTGGAGAGAGACCGCTTGGTAATGACCTCCACAACAACAACAACACCGTGAGGCTACGACGCTCAAATGTCCTGCTGTTACCGCTCTCAAGAGAAAATGAAACCTCAACATGATGCAATAAAATTCGAAGAAATTTCCTGCTTAACTGAAGGAGGGGATTATCTCCAGGTAGTTTACGTGTTTAACAAGGTCATCTGAAGCTATGTGAGCGTTAGGCAACCTGTAGGGATGAATGAAAACAGACTAACAGGAACCGTCTTAAGAAATTCAAACACCTCTAACTGAAAACAACTTACTGAACCTGTTCCTCTGACACCTCAGGGCACTTGTTGTCATCACCTTGATCCAGAGGAAGAGGTGTTTGTTTTTTTAATTAGTGTTTTTTGACTCAGCTTGCAGATACACATATTTAATGCTGCAAAAAAATATAGAAGGCCTGCACTTTTTTTTTTCTCAGAGGCAAGTCGAAAAAGTAAAGAAACAAAAATCCAAATAAAGCACAAGAACTCAGGGAACAAATAAAAAAGTCTGATTTCTGGACTACCTTCCTGGTTAAATCAAGATAAAAAACAATAAATTAATAAATGGGAGACAAGCATTTACTGGTCAATAAGTGAAGGGAACACTCAGCCATTACAGTAAAAAACAAAGCTAAACTTCAGTGCTATCAATCTCTCCAGTTGGTAAGCAGAACCCACTGTGAGCCCATTTCAGCTGCTTTGGTGCAGATGGTCATGACAACAGGTCCACTGGACAGGCAACAACATGACAAACCCCACAAAGGGAATGTTTTAGCAGCTGGTGGCTACAGCCCATTCCTCTCCTTATCCCTCCTGACTGTTTTTCATCTAAATGTCCCTATCACTGCAGTCATCATGCGATAGTATCTGCAGATAATTCAGGTTTCACAGGTTACTACTTCAAGATGGAGATGTGAGGAGAGCTGGACAGGCTCGCTGGTTCATGTTTCTGACCAAAATGTCAGATTCAGACTCCACGAAGGGGAACACGGGTCCCGGCGTCCTTTAGCAGGACCTGTGCTCGCAGCTCAGCCCCACGCAGCTTGATCGGCATTCGGCAGACAACACCACAACTGGCAGCTTTGCTTCTGGTACCCTGATGTCTGATAACATTCACCAGAGCGCCTCCAGACTCTTTCACACCTGTCACGTGTGCTCAGTGTGAACCTCCTCTCTGAAACTGAATATTTTTAAAGTTAAAAAAAAAAAAAAGCATTTAACTTACAGCACTAAATAAAGAGAAGATTACATTTTTTCTTATGAAATAAACAATAATTTGTTAAAGAATGTCTCTGGAGCTGATTTAATGATCCATTAACAAACAAGAACAGATAAACTAGTAACTGTAACAGCAGATTATTTATTATTTTGTTGGGTGATTATTTTATATTGTGTGTCCTGTGCACACAAAATACATTTTTTGGCAACATATATTGTTTTTTAATGAAACCCTGCCTGGATATGTGCTCTTTATTCTACGCATTTTTTATGACTAACCGGTAAAGACATCTTACAGTGCAGCATTACAGGGTTTTATGGGATCGTAGTCACACAGTTTTCATGGACTTGGAACTGTCAAAGTGCACAGAGCTGGTTGAAAGAACTACAGAGCACATTTGCCGCATGGCTGATTAAACAAACATAAACAGCGTGTTCTCTGTACAGATGATGAAAGCTTGTTTAACTGCTTGAGCAACAGAAGTAATTTTGGTATATCTAATCTTGTAGTTCAAAACAGAAAAGAAAAACAAGAAAATAACTTATAAATCACAGATTAATTAGACCTAATTTCTCAAGAATTCAATAATAGGTTTTGTTTGTCCCTCCGGAGCCTCTTCTCTTTTTACTGCAGCAAGAATAAAAAACAAACAAACACAGGAGAGTTTCCCAGTAACAGACACATACAAGAAGAAGCTTCTGAGAGCTTGCCAGATTGCGCTGCCTCTAACAGCCTTTAGATGTATCCCCTGCTATTATTTCAGCCAGTCGAGCCATTCAGGTGCTCCTCCAAGCTCCTGGCATTTAAAAATGCTCTCTCATGCCAACTGCAGCCACCTGGGGACGGCAGCTCTGCTCTGAGGCATCCTGACAACCGTCGCACAGGCTGAGAATAAAATAAACCAGCCTGTGTTTGTTTTGGAAATTGTATTGTCAGAAAAATTATTCTGCTTTTTTTTTTTTTTTTTTTTTAAAGATGACTGATCATCAAACCGAGTGTCGTCTTTAAATTCGACTCCCTTCACTTTAATGCCATGTTTGTTGTTTTGGTTTTTCTTTTGATGTGACACATTTCTGTCAGCCCAAGATGTTTTTCAAGGCTTTAACCTGCACAAATTAAAGGCCGTGTCTTTTTCTGGTCTTTCTGAGAGCCGTCACAATATCAAACACATTTGGCAACCACACAAAGTTTCAGTGGTAAGTTTAAGTCAAGCAGTTTGAATGAAACTGTCCAAACTGCACAAAGTGACCTTGTAACAACTTCTCCACGATGACAACCAAATCAGATGCTAAATGGCTCTTATAGTGCTGTTCTTCTCTAAAAGCGCTCTATACTACAAGCATTATTCACCCATTCAAAAACAGATTTAGGATCACACTCCTGTGATCGAGTGGAAACCTCAAGGGAGATCCTCTAGTATCCACTAGAACAGGGGTGGGCAACTCCAGGCCTGGAGGGCCGGTGTCCTGCAGGTTTTAGACGTGTCCTTGATTCAACACAGCTGATTCAAATGGTTAAATGACCTCCTCAACATGTCCTGAAGTCCTCCAGAGGCTTGGTAACGAACTAATCATGTGATTCAGGTGTGTTGACCCAGGGTAATACCTAAAACCTGCAGGACAGCAACCCTCGAGGCCTGGAGTTGCCCACCCCTGCACTAGAAGCAGGCTTGAAAGGTGATTCAATCCCATAGACTCCAATGTCCAAGTCCAACTTTGCAGCAGCAGTAACCATATTCACACCACAGTGCACAATCCTGTTGTGGTCCCTAAAGCTATGTTCAGCCATCATGACAGCCTGTGATGATTTGGTTATAACTCACCCATCTGGATTTGGCAAAAGCTTTGACTGAAAAGTGTGCAGAGACAGGTAGCTGCACTCAATCACGGCCTTCTAGGTCTCAGTTCTGCTAATTCAAGTCAATGAACTGGACCTTTCAAGTCTTTCTGTGATGCTGGTGACTTTTATATCATTTTAATGCAACTGAATGACAAATATTACACAGGACCTGAAATTAATTTCCCCAAATTTAGGGAAATTGCGCCATATTGCTTTTTACCAGGGGGAGGGGGTACCTGTCTGAAGAGGCTACTCATTGTGAGCTTAATTGCATGTCTTATACAGTCACCCATTGTTCTTCTCCAACTACAGCATGGCTGTATTCTCTGCTCTGTCCATCTTTATCATCGTAGGTCTTTTCTCTCGTCCACTGTCAGCTCAATATTTTACAAATACAGCAGCTAAACTAACATCAGGGTCGGCCGTATGAGGATCCTGAAGATTCACCTTGTCAACATTAACCTCTCCTGGGACTGCTGTTTTTTTCCTGAGTGCACTTCTTGTCAGTTGACATACATTACAAGACTTTAAGATCCTTTTGGCTTCTCTTGTATTCACAAGGGCCCATCACAGAGTTTTTACACCTGATGCCCTTCCTACTGCAACCCCAAAGGGATGTGTGTCACCTCCTGGGATCAAACTGTTAGGCAAACATGTAAGCCACTACACATTTACATAGTTTAAGTGCCTCTGAGTCTGGAGCTACAGTAAGTCTGTGCTGATTTGTGTCCATTTCATGCCTAAAGTGAGAATTTTCCACTTTTAAAAAGCCCAAAAGGTCTACAACTGGAGGCTGGAGGAGTTAGCTCCAGAATATCAAGATGGCAGACGAAGGAAAACTCAACCCTTTTTTTTATATCAAACATTTATCCTTCTTGTCAAAACTTGCACAACCAAGCAACACAACCATCAACATTTTATTCCGGGTTGTGCCTGGAAACAGGACTGTTATTTTCCGTGGTGTTCTGCTCTTTAATGAGTCCGGGGTATAAACCATCTTCCACTTGAAAGAAACCACAGCAACAGATGGAAAAGCAAAGAAAAGAAACTCCTGCTCTGCTGTGCCACTTTATTTCAGTCCAAATGTCTCCGGTGTACTCCTGCCTTTCCATATCACCTCCACCTCCACATCCACCTGCACACCTGCTTCCAATTTCCTCTTCGGGTCCTTCAGCGAGCATACCCACACTTGAGTTCCTTGCCAAATTGTCAATCATGCTATCTGAGCTGTAGATTTCCAGCCTTCTGTCTGGCCAAGTCGCCTTGTTTTTGCTTCTTCTTCTTTCTCTTTTTGGACCCATGCCTGCCTGCGTGTGCCCCTCAGGACTTCCTGTTTAATGACCCACATCAGAAATGGATGATCATTGCTGACGGCTTCATGGTTGCAGTGGGAGCTAAGAGCAAAGGACTAATAGTACACTGACTGCCTGTGAAAGAAAGTCTGGATACTGTTGTCCAACAACAAAACGCTGCACTCATCGTACTCATTAACTGCTGAAAACTGTCTAAATGTTGATTCTAAATATGGCTATAATATGGCTCAGATCCTCAGCCTTGCTTAGTGAACATTATCAACCCGTCTGCAGATGCTTCCTTCAGAGTCGACTGATAGTTTGACAACTGACAACATCTGACAGTTAAACTTTTTCTTCCTGATCACTGGCTGTAAGCAACTCATCAGTGTGCTGCACATCCTTGTTTTCTAACCTGCTTCAGAAAACAAATGTTGTTTGCAGGAACAGCTGATCACAGTCTGTCAAAGTTTACAGTTTTTAACTAAAACAGAAAATATGGAAATAAACTGCATCAAACCACTCTAAGAAAGTCTGACAGTAACACATTGTTTCCCATAAAACAGGAGAATAATGCATTCTGCATTCAATATTTGCTGTTTGCCCATAAAATACTGCTACACTCTGTGAACAGCTTTGCATGCTGGGGTTAGGTTAGAATAAAGACAGCAATGCCCCACAAATACAGAAAGCTATTGTCTTTCTAGAAGAAACACTAGGGAACACAAGAGGTGGTTGTGATTTTCAAATACTGGAATAGACGTTTTATTAAGAATAACACTACCAGCCAACAGGCCAATAAAGCATGGTTTCATGGAGTGGTCATACTAAATGTTCTGTGAACGGTACACACTACAGCCACCAAACAGCTCTGAAATCTGCCTGGTAAAGCTAGCAAGGCTATTACAGCACAGTTATTCCATTAAAATTAACCTAATCCCCTCAGAATCAGCTGTTTTGTTTGTTTGGGGATATGTGTGGAATCCCAATCCAATGCAAAATGGCAACCACACAAAGTTGCAGGCTCTTTAGAAGCATCTATTAACCCTTTAAGACCTACCATAGAACCAAGTCCGCCAGA